TGGCGAGAAATCGAATGTTATCATTTTCGAAATCATCTTGTGAATTTTTCCCAATTTTTGGATATTTTATAAGGTGGAATTGTATAAGAAATAAATATATATATAGGATATTACGTAAAGATTATTTATGCCGTGAATATTTATTACTTAAAATTAAATTTCTACGAACATAACATCAGAGATACGATATATTTTTAATTCGCATGCGCGTATAAATATTCATAGTCTATTGATGATAATTCTTTTTTTTTTTTTTCGATCAGTTTTTAATAGGATGTATAATCAATTCACATTACAACCTCTCTTACTTACATTCTCTTTCTTAATTTGCACGAGTTGGATCCACGCATTTCAATTTCTTTTCTTCTTTTTCCGCAAAAACATCGCAAACGATATATACTTTCTGGTCTCGATCAGTCGATTTCAACGGGACCCAACGAGATCTCCTCGGTACGTGTGCACCGGTGAAAAAGAAAAGTATAACACGATATCGTCGTCTCGATGGTGGGGGCGGAGATAAGGGGGATAAAAGGAGAAACGAGAAATTAATCGAGCCGAAAGCGGTGACGCGATTACGAGTAAATTGGATCTTTCGTTTCACGATTCCTACCCTTCTCTCCTTCTGCTTCATTTCCTTTTCTTTCCTTTTTTCCCTTCTGTTTCTCTCTCTCTCTCTCTCTCCCTCCCTCCTCTCTTTTTTTTCGCCTCGAAGAAACTCGAAGATGGAGAGAGGGCGAAAGGGCTGCAAACTGGATTCAAGTGGCCATTAAATCTCTTCCAAGTAACTGTCCGTTGGACTTGTTCGTTTCGTCAGTTTCCACGGGCTTTTTATGATCCCCCTTCCCCTCCCGTCACGGATTATATTAAAACAAAGCGATATTTTCCTCCTGCGAAAAATATCTTTAAGCTTAAGGATTAAGCTTAAGGTTCGTTTCGAGGAACTCGACGCAACACCTCACACGATTGGTTCCCTTCGATTGTGTAATATTTATCTGGATAATTATTACAACGAAGTAGTAATTTTGGAAATGGAAATTATCTTTCAAATTTTTAATATTCACGAACACTTTGTTGCGAGGAGAATATCATAATACTTTAAACGTAAATAATTTTTTCGAATTAACGAATAGTCGAACTGAACCGAAAGTGGATTGGACAAAGACGAAAAGGAAGGCACGAGAACTCGTGGAATGGCAGAGATATCAACAGGGGGGGATAATTAACGAGGCAGATAAATGGAGAACAGGGGAAGAACAATTTCCAAATGCATCTCTCGCGGATATGAATTTCCCCTCTCGTCTTATTTTTAATTTTAATCTTATGGCTCGTTCCACACCGATGAATTCATCGATCGAGCATCGGTCTCCAACCACGTGGTGAACGACGATACACTCCAATCCCCCCCCCCCTCGCTTTTTCATCCTCGTTTTTTTCTCCATCGATTGTCTTTTTTCCCTTTTTCCATACCCGTGTTGCTGTTCGAGAAAATGCATAAAGGGAGCAGCTTTCAATCTCGGAGGATGCGCCGGAAATGCGACAAGCGACCCTGATCTCGAGTGAAAAGATCTGGCGCAACCGCGCCGAAAATCGGAGCAAATAGAAGAAGAAGAAGAAGAAGAAGAAGATACGAATTTTCCACGAAGAGAAGGTGGGGGGGGGGAAGAAAAGAGACGGAAAATTATTAATCGAAGAGAATTATTGGAAAAATATTCGCGATCGATTTATTTTTTTTTTNTTTTTTTTTTTTTTTTTTTTTCACGAAGAGAAGAAAGATGTAAAGATGTAAATTAAACTGAATTAACTTATTATTTAAATTAGTAGTTCGAATAGTAACGTGATAGATATGGTTTCTTCCATTTGAACAAGTGAAATCGAAGTTTCAGCAAAAATTATTAATCGAAAATTATTATTCTTATTCACAAACCAGCTACTTTTTTTTTACGATGGAAACAATTATTATTGACTCGTTCCACTTGAAGCCCACTTAAACTAAACCACTGAGCTAACTTATTATTTAATCTCGCACTGCTCAAACGACCCCAGTTTCAACTTACGTAACGCGAATAATTCCGAACGATTAATTAAATAACAACGCACAATAAATAACTGCAACAACCCCTTCCCTAATTTTAAATCTTAAAGAAAATCCCCATCTACAATTCCCCTCGATATATAAAAATTCTTCCACACCCCCACAGACGAACGTATCGTGGCACTGATAATCCCCCCTCACTTTATCCATCGAAAGACTTCTCCACGAGTGGACGAAGACGATGGAATTAAGGATCGGCTCTATTTGGATGAGTTTTCGATCCCCGAGGAGGGGTGTGTCTGTTGGAGGGGCACAGCATTTATCGGGAAGAAAAGGAGATGCGGGCATGTTTATAGGGCGGCCTCGATCCCGAGGGCCATGCAAATACCGGGGTAAACTCTTACACCGGGTATTCCGCGTTATCTGAAAACGATTACCACGGGATAAGAGGGGGGGGGGGGGAATGTATGGATCCCGTGTAATTCTCCACGGATAATCGCGCTCGTTAATGCGTATAGCGCCGCTTCCTTCCTTCCTTTATAACGTTATTTTCCTTCCTGTAAATTGGGGGGAGCGGGGGGGGGGGGGGAAGGTCAAAGGGTTTTGTTCGAAGGGAAGGGAGATCAAAGGGTTATCGAGTCGCGATTTTTTACGTATTTTTTTTTTTTTTTTTTAGCTTTTAAGGAGGAGTTGTTTGTTGCAAGGAAGAATCGCTGTTGTAATTTTGGTTGTAATGCTGGTCGATGCAGAATGTTACGTTTGGACTGTGGAGGAACATATGGTGGGATAGTTTATTCAATTTGTTAAAAGAAAGTGAGCAATTGACGAATTCGAAATGGTGATTTTCTTTTAAGTAGATTTGGAATATTTGGATTGTAGAATTTTGTAACGTTTCGAGAATTTATTATTTATACTGATCTCATTTGGAAGAATGGATTCTGTTAATAAAAAAGTCAGGACACAGTGACGTTCGTTTCCTGTTAATAAAAATAAAAATTAATCGATCAATAGCTACCCTATTTCTCTAATTCTGTGGAGAAAGATTAAACGATTTCTTAAGTATAAAAACACTTGTCGCTTCGTTCGAAAATTATTGAGCTTAGGGTTTGTAAACAAATTTGGTTGGCTGGAAATTAGGATAATAACCGTCAGCCATTTTAAACAGGATTGATCGATCTCGACCTGAAACTGGATAATACGGCCGAAATTATTCTCCGGATTGCCGATCATTGTTCGTTCGTCTATATTCCCTTGGCGCTATGAACACGTCGATTATGATAAAATATAGCCGGAAGGATTAATTATCACGCGCGCTCGACAAAATTTCCAGGATTTCGTTGCGAAACGAGCATACACGATCGACTCGTTCCATCTAAAACTGGCGTTGGAGAAGCTTAAGAAGTTGTTAAGGGCTATATAATATATATATATTAATCAAGTGCTAAAATTATCGATTTTTTGATCACTCACAAGATCGACATATTTTATCCAACTTGAACGTTAAACAATTATCGTTTGAGTTAGACGCCGAAATTATCGACTTGTTCCGCTCGAAGATACTTTAAATCAAGTTTCTAATCGTACGAGAGACTTTTCACTTCAAAACTGAACAGTTCACATCAGACTATATACGTGTTATAACAAAGATAATGATAAATTGCAAGAGAATTCAAGTTAAAAAAAAAAAAAAATAAAGATCGTTGCAGCCTATTTCAACACCGTCGTTTCTCACGTTATCGGCCACGAAACGAACTGCGAAATTGAAAATCGGACAAGCGGTTATCCTTGCCCCATTCCCAATAACCGGAAGAACCACAGCTTGCTCGTTCGACAAGGATCATCCGAACTTAGTTTCAGAAGGAGATCCCGGCGAAGCGGCAAATTGTCGACGAGGAGAAACGAGCCATAAGAAAGTTTCGCCGTCGTAGATAATGCGGACGTTCTCGAACGAGTTCGATTCGATCTTCGAACCAGTTTCTCCACGCCGGTTTCTCAAAACTCGACGCCGATTATCGAAAGCAGAAACAAAACGATCTCAACGTATTACGGTGGACCAATTATAATTCTCCTCCGACTTTCACAGATGTGCTATTATTTTCCTGTCTCTGGTGAAAAATAACCTAGTCGCGAAAAAACCTTTCCCCAAAGATGTTGGAAGCGGGATTTGAGATTTTTTAAATATCGAGATATAGAGTATTCTAATATTTTTCCACGATCGACAATTGAAACGCGCAACAACTGGAAGCACCACTGTGCGAAGGTACGAGGATTTAATTCAGCGTATGGGGAGAGGCCCCGTGCGCTCTTCTTCCCTCGAAATGAAAGTAACAGCCCTAACTGAAACGAACGAATCGAGCCAATGCGACGTATATTCGTGAACAAGTTTCGAAACTATCCTATACCTGCGTTTTCCTATCCTCCCCAACCCAACGAGATTCCCCAATTTTCATACGACCAATCAAAAGAAAGTCGAGAGTTCGCAACAAATTGGACAAACACGTTTCCTTTCCTCGCGCCAAAAAGCGTGGAGGAGTATTCATTACCCATCTTTATATTTCACCAGTTCTCCAACCACCTCTCCAATCTCTTTTTCGTGTTTCTCCACAATCCCTCCCTTCCCTTCGCGTCCATCCTTTTTACACTACACCTCCCCCTTTTCACCTTTTCCCCCCGGCTAGCCTCTTTGAAATTTCCCTCTGGTTTACTCCTCGCAACCCTTCCTCTATTTTTTTTATATCTCGTTATTTCCTCTCCCTTTCCCCTCCCCGTCTACTACGATCTTTCGTTTTTTTTTTTTTTGCCTGATTTTCCTCGGAGTTTTGTCTCGGTGTCGGTTTTTTCGCCCTCTTCGTCTTCCTTCATTTTTGACCAGTTGGCTACGGGCTAATCCGCGATTTCGACGCGGAAACACGGAGGAAATCGAGCATCGAAACGAACCGATTGAAAGGTCTACACAGTGAACGAATTCTACTGTGTGGGGATGTGTAACACGGATGAAATAAAATAGAAGCTAAAAGAAAAAAAAAATAGAAAAATTGGGGGAAAAAAAAAAGAAACGAGAGACGGCGAACCGGATTGCAAAGGTAAATTGAATTGAATCGATTAATATGGTCGATGAATGCGCCATGTTCTCTTTCGATCTTTCATTCCGTTAAAGCGAACCGAGAGGACTCGATTCATCTTGAAAATTGTACTCGCTTTGAAAAATCAGGATAAGATTTATTTTTGTTCGTCGGATGGTTTGGAGTTGAATATATGGACAATTGTTAATAATAAAAAGGGAACCCGTTTTTTGTAAACGTGTTTTATCAATTTTGAGAATTTTATTCCGTATAAATTTATAACAAAATTCTTTCTCATAATTTTAATTCCGCCTTGAATCGATAAAAATGTCCAGAATTCGTTGGCAAATTTTAGATCATTATATAAACAAAAATTTTCAACTATCTCTCTCTCTCTCTTAATTACTTCATCAATTTAACAATTTGGACGGCAATGCCAAATGTTATTAAAAATAAATTACAAATTACCGTGCAATAATATCGATTTCCTTCCTCTTCCCTTGGAAAATAAATTCACCGAAAGTGGTTAAATCTAATTTTAAGAATTTTAATAAGAAGAATACTTTCCAAGGGAATTCTTTAAACATCCATCCACGAATACGCGTGCGAGAACGCATTCTACAGATTCTTGAAGGTGGATGGAAAAGTCTTCGAGTAAAGAGCTCGTAGAAAAACTATTTCTCTTCCAATCGAGCATATAACGAAGATGAATTGTTCGGCCGAATGAAATAGCGTTATACCGATGAATTCCCATATTGGAACTTTCTTAAAGTCGATGCAAAGATGCAAAGATATTCGATCTCGATATTCAGACAACGGCCACGAGATTGGTCTCGATCGAGTGCAAGTTTCGAATATCTTTTCCAAAAGTTTTTCTATATTACACACAATTTCTATACGTAAGGGTGGAGAAAGAGGTAAAAAAAGTTTCTGTTTATCCAAACGGAAGAAACTTGGAGCTAACGAAATGCAAATAATCGATGGTGGTATTTGAACGGAACTCCTCTTCATATTAAATCGTATTTTCATATTCGATAAATCGTGGAACAAAGTGTGGAACGAAGGTTCTTCGAACGGTATTATTCAGCGATATATTTTAATTAAGAGATATCGAACGTATTGTATAATAAATTAGGATTAAAATCTATAAAGGATGATTATCTATTGACTATATTTATTGTACGCGATCTTTTCGAACGAACATTTTATACGATCTTTCTTAATTTTTCGAACAGGATTTGTAGTAACGGATTTGAATTACATAGATGCAATTATTTTCGTTCCATAGAAAAATACCGAAGCATAAATTTTTCACACATTCTACTATCTTCTGGCTATAATTCTTTATATTTTGTGTCATATTTATTCGATCGACTGTTTTATACAATCCTCTTTTATTTTGCTTCAGTTATAGGGATTTAAGAGGAAGCGCCCGAATAACCATCGCTTTTAAATGCAAAAATGGCAAGAATTTACTAATCTAAAACAGCCCAAGAAAAAAAATAAACAAAAGTAGAACGCGTAGCGACAACAATTTTTATCCTTGCTTATTTAAAAAAAAAAAAAAAAAAAATAACATCACAATATCGATCCTTTCAAGATAAAAAAGTATTATCTCGAAAGGATTAAAAAAAAAGTTACTAAACAAATCAACAGAAACAATCAAACGCCCATAAATTCTTGCATCCATCGATTAATCAGTTCATCACCGCTCGAAAAAACGAACAACGAAACGTTCTCTCAAAAGAAGAAATTAAGAAGAAAAGAAAAGAAATCCCCTTTATCTAACGTACTTTTACGAATACGTAATCGTTCCGGAAAATAATAAAATTCTGTCGTCTAGTTCGCTATATTTCACCCGGCTGAATATTAATCTCGAAGGCGGTGAAAGCGGAGGGGCTCGCTCCACGCGCGATCCCGGGAACGATATTATCGAGAAATTGGAAGTTACGAAAACGAAAGACGGGGGGGCATCCCTCGTGGAAACGAACGCGTATCGTCCACCGATCTAATTACCGATGAACGAATTCGGTCGCGGGGAGAATTCGCTTCATTACCCTCCACGGTAATTTAAATTCACTCCTCGACGATGGTGGAGGAGGAAAGAAAGGAAGAAAGAAAAGAAAAGGAAAGGAGGAAGATGGAATCGAACGATTTCCCTCGCGAACGAGATTCCAATTAATTCCCGAGCCTTTCTCGAGCGCGCGGTCGATTGCCAAGTAATGGACGATTGGCGATGGTAGATCGAAGAAATTGTAGAATTGTGGAAATTATTTCCATGACGACGAATGGATGAAATTTAGGGTGAATGGAAGGATACGTTTGTTAACGCTAAACTGTACTTGTATACCTGTTCCTGTCAAATGACCGCTGCAAAAAAACATTTGTATCTTAATATAGGAAGAGATTTTATTAGCTAATCGGATTCGTAAAGTAGACAGAAAGTTGCGAATATATTGAAAAACATGGGTTGTATCTACGTTATAGAAAAAGTCGATAAGTCATATGATAAACGAATTTTAAAAACGGTCATTTGACCGCGCCGTGGCAGGTTTAGTGTAAAGCAAGTCTTTGGAGAGTCTTGCTTAGATAGGATTGGATAATTTCTTCGAATTAGATACGCGGCTCGTTGAATTGTTTCTAAGATTCTTCGAATTCCACAATAGAATTTCGAAGACTCTTCTCTACATCTTCACGAGTGGTTGAAAACTTTCCAACTTCATTTACATTTACAGGGAGGGAAACAATTTCGCCTCGACCTTCGAGAGGACCAAGGACAACAGTCCTCGAGAGATCGACAGGAACGATGATTTCGGTGGTGGATGGGAGAAATGGCGAGGGGAGGAGGACGATTACACAGGTGGATGAAAGCGAGGTCCGCCGCGTGCACCCCCGAGCTCCGGGTTAGTCACATATTTGCCGACCTACCAACGACTAAAAGCTTTTCGCCCGTGCCTCTATTTTCCACCCGTAAATCGTGTTCCGTTACCGTTCTCATGCGAAACACCCCGCCTAAAAAGGTTTTCCACCCACCTGGACCTCGCCAATCGATCTCTCCATCCCTTGCGAGGCGCTGGATAACGAATTTCTGTATTGGGGAGGGGGGAGGATAGGATGCTGAACGCCTGCTTTCTCTCTCGCTCACTCGCTCCTTTCTTTCTCGTTTCGAAAACTCGAATGGCGTTCACTCGAATGTACGATGCTTTATAACGGGGCATTTGTTATTTTTCATTTCAATTTTTCACGCTGACTTTTCACGCGTGATATTTCGTGTTTTTTTCTTTTTTTTGTAAATTGTGCATACATTATCGTTTAATTAACAAATTT